ACACAACACGATCGTGTCATTTCTGGTAAATAATTGTGCCAAAAGAACAGCCGCGTGTGGGTTATCTCGACTTTCCACCTATTATGGTGGTTTTCCCACGATGCACCGCGCCCGAGGTAAACATTGACGTCACCTGGCGCAGACCGATTGGTTCTGAATCTGGTTTTTGATCTACAGCTATAGAAAAGAAATAACACTGTGACCTGAACATTCTCCTTTATGTGGATAAAATCACAATGATAATTTAAATAGAGCTATTCTTAAAAAAAAAATCATGTTTTCTTTTAGCTAAAAAACAAAACAAAACTAGAACCACTCACAACGTAAAGCTGATTTAAAAACTGAGATTTATAATAGATTTAAAACCCTGAGTTTTGCTTTATTAATATTTGCAGTAAAATTTTTTACAAAATCTGAAAATAAAATATTAAATATGTTACATTATTCAAAATAATCTCAAAACTTTAAGACATTATTGACATTAATTGTAGTTATCATCCTGGTTTGGTCCAGTTAACTCTGATAACATATCAGACTGTGACTCTGAGGGACTTCCTGCTGGTAGATATTGTTTCCTGGAGTCATAGAAGCACCTTTCCTCTCAGCAGACTAGAACCAGACTGGAGGAAAAGACTTGAAATCATCTGAGGTCAAAGCAGGTGGGAACGTCACCAAGGCAGCTATGAATTCACTTCAATATTTTCTCTCTTAGGAGAAGTGGGAATCACTCTGTCTCTTCATCAATCTGGGGTCCTGGACTGATAAACATTGAGGATCCCTGCTTTAGAGAACTATGAGGAAATCTGCCTGCCTTGAATCTAAATTCTTCTAAAACACCTTCATTCAACAACTAGTTGGTTAAAACTTGGACACAGTCTGATGTTGCAACAAGACAATGATTCTAAACACACATTCAACATTGATCCCCATGTTATATCATCATCATCATCAGCTCTCACACATAGAGGAGACGCTCTGCAGAGCGAAACGTGTTAAAACTCAGAGCTTTAGTTGGTATTAATGTCTGAGTTTGATTTTTGTCAAAAAGATGAACCTGCTGCTGAAATAAAGAAAAAAGAAAAAAACATTTTAGAAGGTTTTACTCACCAGGTTCAGGGCATAATTCGTATGACTCATGAATTGATGATCTTTTGTCCAGGTTTCCATCCCTTGTTTCTGAAGTTGGTTTCTGATCTCCATCTATAGAAAAGAAATACAACACTTTGACCTGAACACTCTCCTTTATTTAGATAAAATCAATGATAATCATAACAGCTTTTATTATGTTTTCTTTTAGCTAAGAGGTTATGAAAAAATGCCAAAACTATAAAAATCTGTATTTAACTCCAAACTAGAACCAACTCGTATGAAGTAAAGCTGATCCAAAAACTGATATATAATAGATTTATAAACCTGTCTTTTAGTGTATTTATCTTTGCAGCAATTTTTTTTATGAAATCCTACGATAAACCATTAAAGATTTTGCATTTTTAAAAATAATCTCAAGACATTAAAACATATTTCATTGATATTAATTGTAGTTATTATCCTGGTTTGGTCCAGTTAACTCTGATAACATATCAGACTCTGACTCTGAGGTGACTATTGTTCCTTACATAAGTTAAGTTCAAGTAAGTGGAGTTAAAATAAGTAAAGTTAGAATGCTAAAATTTCTTTAGCCTGTTATTTGTTCTTTAAAGAAAGAGGGGAGATTGTTAAGTTGTAAGTAGCAGACTGTACATGTATGAGATGTAAGGAATGGGAGGCGGGGCTAGATCTGTGTTTCCTTCAGGATTGTAATGCTTTCATCATCGGTGTTGCCTGAGCAAGATAAGAGCTTTTGTAGTCTGTCAATTGAGGCATGTCCAAATTGTTTATGTAGCTTTAGCAGTACTGTTTTTTTTTCTTTTGTTGTCATGTTTTCTGTCACAATGAGAATTTCATCTTCATCATTTGGTGTCTCACTTTGTTTAAACTGGCTTTCATTATTGATCCTTTCCTTTCTTAAATTTACACAATAATGTCCAGAAGATGTCAGTTCAAGTTTTACAGGTTGGTCAAACATCATTGCTTTGTCTTGAGCAATGTCTAAAACAGCACTCGCTCT